AAAGGGATATGGCTATAAAGGGATATGGCTATAAAGGGATATGGCTATAAAGGGATATGGCTATAAAGGGATATGGCTATAAAGGGATATGGCTATAAAGGGATATGGCTATAAAGGGATAAGTTCATGAGGCAGTAAGACAACAAGAGGGTACGGCTATAAGGGGGAACGCTCTGAGGGAGTACAGCTGTAAGTGAGTAAGACTATAAGAAGATAAGATTATGAATGGTAAGGCTATAAGATGGTAAGACTCTAAGGAAGAAAGTCAATAAGGGGATAAGGCTATTAAGTGGTAAGGCTATAAAACAGTAAGACAGTAAAGGGATAAGGCTATACAAGAGGCATGCTATAAGAGGGTTAGGCTATAAGCGCGTAAGGCTAGAAGAGCTACAAGAAATGTAAGGCCGTAAGGCTACATGGGGTATTGGCGATGTAAGCATATCATGCCGTAAGGCTTCTATGTACATAATGTCTAGTGTCTCTGTTTCTGTTATCGAGTGAAAGGTTACAGTTTGAGGTCGTACGTTAAAGAAAAAACGCTGCCGTGCAGTATGCACGGGATCTCGCTAGTTGATAAAATTGAATAAAGAGATACTGCAGAAGGTGAACCAGATAAATGTAATTTAAGTGAGATCAGATTCGAAGGTATCGACGTATAATTTGATATATCCATGTAATCATAACGATAATCAAGTTCAATTGAATGAACAGATGATTTGTGCATTAACATAATTTGAGTTAAGTCACATTTATCGATTGTACTTATAGTATAATCATTTGGTGCGCGAATACTGAATGAAACAAGTTTATTCAGAGTCTTAATAAGTTTAATAACATTTTCAACTTTCGTTGGCAAACTATTTGCAACCAAAAGACATGATTCAAGATTAGTAAAATTGTGTCGATGAAATAATAAATCAATAACAGATGTATAATCACAAATTTTATAATAAATTTTTGTCAAAATAACTTGATGAGCATGGAAAGTAAGATGAGAAGAAATAAAATCAACTTGACGACGAGAGTGATTATATAAAACAATAATACGAAGCGGAATTGATTGTAGTATAGACGAAATACGTTTATTTAATGAAGTAAAATCAGTAAAAATCTCAAGTGCCTGTAAATAATCAAATATTTCGAAGAAAATTTCATTTGATAAATCTTCGAAATGAGTATATCTATCCATTTGTACAGGAAATAAGAATAAATAATGATAAAAATTATGTGAGTTAGTTTAGTCGTCTGTAAAGATTGTATGAAATGGTAGAGTATTGATAGAGAATATGTTATATATTTTATGCTAATCAGCCTATGAGCAATATTGACGAGAATGAGAAAATGAAAAATGGAGTTGACTGTTGGTTCTATTGTAATATTTGAAAGAAAAATAATAAAACATGTATTAAGGATGTGGGTGTTGATCTTTTCAACACATCCACACCGACCCCTACACCCACATTCTGTAAGCGTTTTTCATTGTTGTGGTATGCATGGAGATTACGATAGTTTCCAGCCGTTTACAGAGGTAGTACGGCTGTATGTGGATTCGAATACGGTCGTTTACGAAAAATGTTGCTCATGCAGGACACTATCTGTGATAACAACCTGTACATTTTTTCTCAGCAAAATGACGAGCAACGCTCGGAATAACCAACTGAAAAAAAGAAAAAGACAGGGCTTTTTTTCATCCTGCAGCTTTTGTAAAATCTCTGAAAACTCTCAGAATAAGTAAAATAAGAAAGAATTAAAGTAAACTAGCTTTCTCCGTTTTCCTATTGAAGATGCATTGAAAGTATTGATGCCATTAAAGGAAGAACGGCTAAATAAACTAGTTTCCGTTGTGCCGATAAAATTAACGATCACTACGAACATAAGTAAATGATGAAAGAGAAAAAACATATTAGACTAGTCGATTCAGGTCGCACACACGGCGACGCAAAACTATGAGGGTAAACAATTTAAAACAACAAAGACAAGAAAATAATTTGATGCCTGAATCACATTGCTAGAAGTGTCATGAGAACTAAATAATAAGGAGATTATGGCAAGTAAACCCTTTTGGTTTTTCTCAGTGTCAAAATAACTAGAGGTGTAAGCCATATGGCTGAGTCACCACCGTTAGTAAGAAAAATTGTTGAAAGTTTCAGCCGCCCCCCGACATGAACGTTAAAGAAGATTATCTTTTACGATCACCGTCGAAGATTTAAAAAAGTTAAAAAATTTTCAGCACCGCCGCCGATCTACTCGCCGGCTTATACCTCTACGAATAACGATACTGAGGAGAAAACGAAAACTATGTTGTCTCATTTCCCGAATACTGGGACATTCAAAGAAGGCGATTAAGCATTAGTATTACAGAAACGATAATATCATATAAATAACGAAAAAGTGAAACGTAGAATCAGTTTTTAGTCATTTATCCACAAGAGGTATTTTATATAGAAAAGTATAAAATAAATTATTTATTCATAATATTAAATATGTATACTGTGATCAAAACTGATTCAAGTGACGTTTGGTTTCATATTAACACCATTCATAGAACTGTGGAATGTTATTCAAAAAACGATGAGAAAAACAAAGCAAATTTATAATTGTTAATGAAGAGGATTTTGTAAGAACTAAAAGAAAGCAAATGCTTAACTGTAGAAATTTTACTACGCTTTAAAACAAAGCGTTTTCTTCTAAAGCTTATTTTTTTAATTTCTTTTTCGATGGATTAATCAGAAATGATTACGACTGGTCTTCTCGATAGCATAAAATAAGAAAAAATCGACTAAAGACATGATTGGTACATTTGATAGTGTCACAATGTAATGAAAACTTCAGTTTTTCTTTCATCTTTTTATGTCTGCTTAAAGAGAACGTTTATCCAATTTCGTTGAAGAGCAGCAAAAGAAAACGTATTCTATGGTTGTTGTCGTTGTCAGCAGTAAAATGATCAGTTCTTTTCTCAGCAATCGGATAATACTGCATTACTAAAAATAGTGAAAGTAGCTTAGCTACAAGAAACGAATATCTATTCTGACATATCACATTGTATTAGCATCTAACAAGACATATAAGTGGTGGCGCAAAAAGAATTATACTGTTAGTATTTTCGAAACTTCTCTTGTTTGAACTTGATCGGACTGACTTTTTTTTAGCAAAAGGTTACCTGTTCAATTTACTACAAAAAAAATGTATTGAATGTTTTATTGTGGAATCGAAAGATGTAACATTCCGTGAGAAATTATGAGGCGTACCAAAATGGACAAAAAATCAATTTTGAAATGATTTGACAAACATCAGAACAAGATCATAGAATATTTTTTGTAGCTTCAAATACGTGGCATTTCGTCATGTAGATTGCAAATGATTTCACACACTATGTGATCTATACAAATGTTCATTTCTATTGTTTTAAATTAAGAAAACTACAGGTTTATAGAGAACTTAATCTCGAATCTTTTGAAAACATATTAACGATTTGTCATGTTACTGAACAGAGATACGTGCAAAGCAATTGCCATATCCCGTGTTCACTTTTATACAAGAAATAAGAAAACAATAGTTTGAAAAATTTCGGCAATAAAGCTATACGAATATTGAATTTTGTATGAGAGATGTTTCTTCGTTTTAATACATTTTTACTATTCGAAATTTTTTTTCTCTTAAAAGGCAATAGGAAAATCAAAAATTCACGTATTTGTGATCATCACACCAGACTCTACCTAACAAAGTAGTTTCGAGTGGAATTTTCAATAATACACATCGTCAGAGTCCAGGCAAGCCACTTTTAAAATTTAGTCTTTTTTTCTTGGAAAAGATTTTTTTAATTAAAAAAGCACTAAGCTCATAGACATCATCTTCCGATTCGTTGTTTTTCTCGGTGAGAAATGTTTACTTTCAAAAAATAAAAAGCTAGTCATTTGAACGCATAAAATCCAGTCTTGTTATCGCCTTCGTCTGACTGAAAAATGTCGTTTAGGATGAGAAAAAAAATGTGCCTTTTTAAATGAATGAGCAACAATTATTTGTTAAGGATGTGGGGTGTAGGGTGTGGAGTGTGTGTGGGTGTGGGTGTGGGTGTGGGTGTGAGTGGGGCGTGAGTTTGGGTCAGTGTCAAGAGAGGGTTCATACCCATACTCCACAACCACACCCACTCACCCCTATCCTCATCCCCACTCACACCCACACCCTTAGCATGCTTTTGGAAATCGGTAAAGATAAAGACGTTAGAATTTCTTGTAAACTCGCCTTCCACTCACCCTCCATTCACACATCTATACTCAAAGCAACATCTACACAAGCGTCCGACATCCTCATCCATGCTTCCACGATATTCTTGACTAAAAACCTTAATAGGTACTACAGGGAAGCCCTGTCAATCTTTAAAGCCAAATGTCAGCTTTATAAATTTCTCAACAAACTCAGCAGATTATATAATGAACCTAAATACTAAAAGATATCAAGAAGCTGCGGAAATTATTTTTAAAAAATCGATTATTAGAGGGAGTCTTTTACAATGTATTCTACTTCATATATTCTGGGGGGAAGTACCGAAGGCTTCACAAGATGATTATTTTGTACGTTGTATTTCAAAGAGCTCCTGATTACTAGTGGTTGTCGATAATTGTCGATGATTACCAATAATTGCATTTGATTGCCGTTGATTACTTACGACTGTCAATGATTGCTCATGATCGTGTGCATTGCAATCAGCATTTTCTCCCTTGCTCACATAAATATGCACAAGATGCATTTGCCATTTTCTAAACCATATCTTACAGCTTGTGATGAAAATTTGTTTGAAGTATTCAGAAAAACGTCAATGGAATACATGAAAACAGCGTACGTAGGAGTAAATACCTACTATTCGTTAAATCTTGCGTCACGTTTCATTTGCACAAACGCAAACTGCACTTTATCTTCATTACAGCCTAACTACAGATGTGCAGATAAATGATGATATATTCCCGTATGATATATATTCTTTATCGTCATTCAGCTCTATGGGTAGTCCCCAACAACATCGTGCAAGCCATTCAGCTACATTACGAAAATATTCCCTGCAGCGAACCAATTATATGTTAACGAATAAATACTTTTGAATGCGAAAATCAGACGTGATGTTTGCGATGAAAAAAAGCCTGATTTCGATCCTATTTTCATCGATAGTCTTGATTCATCGCTTCATAGACATGAATCAATACAAATACTGCTCAAGCAGAAGAACTCGAAATACAAAAGAATAAAAGCTGTATGTTTTTCAATCAAGTCACGTGAGCAAACAAGAAGCTGCTTTTACATTTGAAGTAGGTAAACAGAATTAAGAACACAACATATAACGATCACTCTTGCACAATCGAATGCACGAAATTATGTTTCATTTACTCGTGCTGACAATACTTCTGATCTTTCCACTATGTACTGGTCAAACCACTATGGCTTGCTATCCACATGCAGAATGTGGTTGTTCTACGAAGTCAGCGATACTCAGTCGCATCGTCGGCGGAGAAAGTGCGATAGTCGACAGCTGGAGTTGGGCTGTGTCTCTGAAAATTGATAGTTCCTGGCTTTGTGGTGGAGTCATTTTATCGAGTTCATGGATAATCACAGCAGCACATTGTATGGAATCAAATCCATCAGAAGTTATAGTCTATGCAGGCTCAAACCGTCTTTGGACAGGAAAACAGACTCGAAAGGTGAGCAAAGTGATTTCTCATGAACAGTATAATCCCGATACTTTCGAAAATGATATCGCTCTCCTCTTTCTCGCGGACCCACTGAACATGTCTGATCCAACTGTTAAACAAATTTGCATATCCAGTGTTAATATGACAACGTTGCTTACGAGTGAGTGGCCATCGCCTGGTACCAATGTAAGTTACCCTTATAGCTCTGTGTACGTACTCAATGAACAATACTTTCATTATAGGTAGTTGCCATCGGTTGGGGCACATTGGCTTTAAATGGACCTTTTCCGACGACTCTACAACAGGTAACATTGCAGACGGTTGCCTATACTGACGATACATGTAGCTCCATCATATTCAACAAGGACAATCAGTTTTGTGCCGGAGTACTCGGTGGTGGCAAGGGTATTTTTTTCTCTTTCATGTGTATTACCTTATAATCTGGTTCTCACTTCGTTAGATACATGCCAAGGTGATTCCGGCGGTCCTGTAATGATGTTCACTAAAA